GACTTCCCGTTCCGTTCCAACCCTTATCCGTAACGAGCCCGTTTTTGCTGCTCCTGCTCCTATCATCACCCCTTATTGGGTATACATTTTACATTCATCTCTCTCTCTCGTTAACCTACATTATTACTTACATTTCATAGTTATTTTTGTTGTTAGTAGATAGGAAACTAATTAATCCATCATTTGGACGTTTCACTAAATAAAAATAAAGCTATTTTCTCATTAGTTAATTAGTAAACTGCACAAATATGGAAAAATTAAACAGTTTCGAATAGGAAAATGTCACACTATTCGACGAATTCGTTATATAGATTCTGCATTTTACCGTTTTTACGAAACTTCCAAAAATGCTGGAAACTCTCACGTGTATTCACATTTCTTTTTTTATCCTTACTATTATCATCCGTATTATTATTTCCTTCGACATTTTATAGTAACACGTTCTATATCCAATATTAAATTAATGATGTTGTATAAAAATAATGTCCTCGAAATTTAAAAAGGGTTATGGTACGTATCTCTACTCAAAATTCGACATTTTAAAAACTGGAAGTTGGAAAGTACGTAGGATCCACGTGATAAAAAGAAACGAATTTACTACAAGCTTAAACGAAACGATTTATGGAAACTGAGACGTGTGTGTATGCATATACCATATGAGAGCGTGCGGAGGATAGTGTTGATGAAGTCGCCATCTATATTTATTTATTCAACCTACCGATTTGGCTCTTAACCACGTTACCGATCTTTCTCCTCAAATACAAAATTATAATAAATACCTTAAAATTGGACTTTATCGTATAGTGTAGTTCTTGAATAGGTAGATAGTAGTTTCAACTTTAACACACACGACAAGCTCCTGTCTTTACTAATTAATTACTTCTCTAACAATTTATAAAAAAATTCTTATAATTTTATTTGGTCAACAAACTTGCAGAGCGAAGAGATGGGAAGTGAATCATACGAAGAGGCAATTGAAGCCCTCAAGAAGCTTCTCATGTAAGTAAATATCTTCTTCCTTATACACAAAAATTAATGAAGGGGTCTTTAATATCATGTAATAGTCTTGTTTAATTAATCGTAAAATACGTATAAATATATGGGCAGCGAGAAGGAAGAGCTAAAGACGGTTGCGGCGGCTAAGGTGGAGCAGATCACGGCGGAGCTTCAGACAGGGACTTCGTCCGACAAGAAAGCTTTCGACCCCGTCGAATCCATTAAGCAGGGTTTCATCACTTTCAAGAAGGAGAAATACGAGTAATTCTTTCTCTTATATATTTTCTTAATTAATTATATCTCAAATTAGATAAGTCTTGATTTTAACTTCACACATTAATATTTTAATTTGCAGAACCAACCCTGCTTTGCACGCTGAGCTCGCCAAGGGTCAAAGTCCTAAGGTAAAAAAGATAGAAAGTTATAATGTTTTACTATTTTAACAATGAAAATTAGTTAAAAAAGAAAAGTTAGTAATATGTGTGTGAATGGGTGGTGCAGTTCATGGTGTTTGCATGTTCGGACTCACGTGTGTGTCCATCGCACGTTCTCAACTTTCAGCCAGGAGATGCCTTCGTGGTCCGTAACATAGCCAACATGGTTCCTCCTTTTGACAAGGTTATTAACACACTATTATTACTTCTGTTTATCTATATGTACTCTTCTAAATAGAACCTTCTGTCCCACACAAAAGTGCTTGACTTTTGTCTTTGTCGAGTCGTATCGTTGACTTTTTGGGTAAAATATTCGCAGGTCAAATACAGTGGAGTTGGAGCAGCCATTGAATACGCTGTGTTGCACCTTAAGGTGAACCATTCTTTTACTTTATAATGGGCCGGTCCATAAAGGCTGAAGTATATGGGCCGAAAGAAACACTGTATCTATGGGTGATGTATACTTTAACACCTTGATAGAGTTTAAAAAACTGTAGAAAATAGGATGAATTTGAATATGTAAAATTGATAATCCAACAAGTGTAATTTTGATGAATAAATGTAAATTGATTTTTATTGAAATCGATTTAATGTAGGTGGAGAACATTGTGGTGATAGGACACAGTGCATGTGGTGGGATCAAGGGGCTTATGTCTTTCGCCTTAGATGGAAACAACTCCACGTACGTAGACTACCTTTACATCCAGTTTATTTAAATTTCAACTTCGAATTTTTTTTTTTTACTAAATGAGATTAATTGTTCTCAATAAATAATGTTAATTGCAGTGATTTCATCGAGGACTGGGTCAAAATCTGTTTACCAGCCAAATCGAAGGTTATATCTGAACTTGGAGATAAATGCTTTGAAGACCAATGTGGCCGATGTGAAAGGGTACACATACATGTTCATTTCATATATCCAATTAAGTTCTAATCAAACTATATATTTATACGAGACTATTAATACAATGTATTAATTAATAAATGCAGGAGGCAGTGAATGTTTCACTAGCAAACCTATTGACATATCCATTTGTGAGAGAAGGACTTGTGAAGGGAACACTTGCTTTGAAGGGAGGCTACTATGACTTTGTCAAGGGTGCTTTTGAGCTTTGGGGACTTGAATTTGGCCTCTCCGAAACTAGCTCTGTATGAACCAATC